CTTTGGTCAGCAGTGGCCACTACACTAGTATAGGCTATGGATGTGTGATGTGAAACATTGTAAAATAGGCCCTTATGTGAAATGACCTTTAGACTCCAATCTAACCCGAGGTATTTCTAATTGTTCCGTCCATTACTAACGAATCACAGAGTTTAACTGTAATTACTAAACAGATGGCCATGCCCTTAACCTCAGACTTTCCTTAGAGACCAATCATTAGAAGAATTTAATTACATTGGTAGGTAAATACGGTGTCTAATGGACTTAAGAGCAATCATGGTTAGCACGAGGAATTACTTTAAAATCTTAAATTAAAAACGTTCTTTATTTACTCGTTGAAAGAGTCTAAATTAGGTTTTTTTAAGTAGAAACGTGACGTTAGTTAAAAATGCTTTCTATTGTTATTTAGGCTATAAAATTATTTGTTTAAACTGTCAAACACGAAGCGGTCACCGGTGACCGCAACCTATTGTTCTATAATTGTGTCTATAACGACGGTACTCGACGAGCTAGAAAGAGTGTTAAATTATATTAGAAAATTAGATTAAAAAAGATCGTAATCGTAAAATTTCTATTTAATAACTATTTTTATGAGTTGTTTACAAGCACAAAATGTTTAGTTATTTTCAATTTCTTTGGTGTTAAGGTATTGTTCGGATCATATAGTTTCAAAATAAAGAGCATGACAATAAAGCAACGTCTTAATACGACAGCTCTTTTTCAAAAGATTTCAACCTTAACGAAGTCGTACAATTTAAAGTAACTTTATTCATTTTAACATTATTAATAATAAAAAAGTGGTCTGCAACATTTCTACAAAGATTGAATGGACCCATACATCAGAAAGTTATAAAAATATTATACAAGTTCAGATTACTGGCCGCTTTTTATAAAATACTTTACAATTTACAAAGAAAATATGTTTCAAAGAGCACTTGAAAATTTTTATTTTAATCTCAACTTCATTTCGAATCTAAAATAATAATTGTATTACGAATCTATTTTAAGGTTCTTATCGAAATTAGAAACTCTCGTTCATTTTAAAACTTATCGAATTGAAAAATGCTAAACACATTTTAGTGAATGATTTTTAGGCATCAGATGATAACACTGGTTGATAGTATCTTTTTAAGTCAATATTTGCTTTGACGTCTCAGATTAATGAGTTCTGAACTTGAAAATTGATTGATAAATGCATTAGCTTCTTTAGCCTCGTCGAAGGTCTATACTTTTGAAAGGCCAAGTAAAGAGTGAACGGTCTGACAGATCATAAGGTCAGAGGTGACGAGATAAGGCTTTCTATTAGCTTTAGAAGTCTGCATCTGATGGCTATCAGAGTGGTCTCAATTTGACATGAACTTTCGATAGCAGATAATAAGATTCGAATTCAATTTTTCAATCGTTATCTCCTTAGGTCATTATTTGATATATTCTATTGATTTTATTCTAAAGGTAAATGTGAAGGCTGTTCTATACAGGTGGACTTTAAACCAAGACTTTAGATTAAGTTTTGGATCTAATTCATACTTTTATTGTATTTATGTGTACATAATCATTTAATTACTTGTTTACAAACAGTATCTTCTATTCCATTCGTATCACCTAAAATAACCAAAAATAATCAACTGTTCCCACATTTTTACTTAACAAATTATATAGTTCTTAGAATTAAGGCTCTGCCAAGGTTTAGGACCAAACAAACAATGAAATGTACTGTTATTTACAAGTTAGCCCTCCCTAACTTGATGTTAGCTGTTCCACTAAACTTAACTTACTTAACTCGCACGTAATAACTTCACGTTAACTTAGGTTTACTTAGTTTGCCTCGTATACACAACTGTGTATGCTTAAGGTAATTAAGTAGAAATTCGATTAACCGGCCCTCAGTTGTACAGATTGGCGATTGTACTGACCAATTATTGAATACCTACCTAAAAGTCAAATTTATGCAAGCATGAATGTGTCACTAACTAACATTGTCCCCCCGCGCCCCATGCGTTGCTACTGGACGCGTTTTGATATTGTTTTAGTTAGCAATTGTTACTGAAATTCATTGCCAGAGTCTGTATTTCCTGAAGGGTATCTTCAAGTACCTGGGTGTCTTCAAGACCCGAGTGAATTGAATAGGTTGCTTATGGGACAACGTGCTCCATCGTAGATCGCATCATTGCTTACCACCAGATGAGAATATAAAATAAGAATAAGAACGTTTATTTGCACAAAGAATAGTAAAAATAGTGGTCAAACGTCGGCCCAACAAATATAAAAAAAACTCCGCTCGGACGTGCGTGTCGTGTTGCCATATTTAAAATATTAAAGCGTAAACGAGAGTGGTGTTATCTCTGAAAGACAATTTGTATCCTATGCATAAACAATAGAATGGCGCCGCAGAACATTCGTCTATAAACATAGACAACATAAAGTAGATTTACTGTAAATCTACCTACCAACATAGTTTTGATCTGATGGTGACATTAAAAATCATTCACAGTATTTCAATTAAAAACTATGGAGGAGGAAATATTATAACTATAGTTTTTAGACAAACTCATTCCTAAACACATAAAATCCTCATCCACATTTTCAGATACTGAACCAATAATCAACAATTTACGTATACTTGTATACAAATCAGTCCAATCTCGTCAAGACATCAAAAAGCAAAACTTGATCTAAACTTATTTAACTTAACTTATTAGATCCTTACCACCCACAAACACACGTTGTTCCCAGTACTACACCTACCTCAAGGGCAATTCAAAAAAAACTTCCAGACATTCAGGGAAGTATTCTCAATAAATGACGATTACCGGGTCATCATAAACTATTGTTCGCAACCATACTTGAACGAACTATTCAATATAATACCAACCACGCTCCCTTTCAGGAAAACTCTCGTTCGTAACTTCAAGTTATCGCATCTGAAAACATAAGTATTTGTAGATAGTATAAACCATGATTGTATGTTTATTTTATAATATGTTTTCTCATATAACATGTCTTATGACATTGTTTCCGGCGTTCAAGGTCAATAGAAACATTAAATCAGTAGGTCTCGGTCTGAACTTATTCTACGAATATGGTCAATACTCCAAGCGTAAATAACAAAAATCAAGGGCCCAATACCCAAACCAGCCTTTGACAAACAGCTTAAGTTGAGGACGATTGGTTCCCACGGCGGCAGCTCTGTTCAAGTTTTAAGACAACACTCCGTAGCAACACCCTATGTAAGTACATATATATATATATAAGTATGTACATAAACACACCATATACGTATATTATATTAGACCCTACACATCTCATAATCGAATTAATAACACCAACTATTCATAATAAATAATACGACTAATAAAACACGTCAGCTAACTACGCCTACGCGGCTACGAGGCTACGTGCTACGTACTACGCCACGTACGTAGCATTGCTACGAATAACAATTAAAGCGCTATTCAGCTAAGTGCTTGTTTATAGAACATTATTTTTGCAGGGATTTGCTGTGGCAATTAGTGTGATTTACTGAATTATTCATGCTGCACTTTCATAATGGCCGGCCTTCTAAGACAACGCTTTTATAATTCAGTTTGTTTTACCATTTATCATTTTTTGTTTCAGCTGTTTATTTTTCGTAAAATATTCAAACTAATTTCATTTAAACTGTAATACATAATTGTCTTATTGATAGATTGTATTCACATTTCCAAATATCAAGCAACTCTTTGTCGAGTCTTGGGTTTGAATCTTGAGCTGAATTAAATATGTATTACAGTTCTACATGAAATATAACACAGTAAATATTTCTCTCTAACACCATTTTAATGCCAAACAGTGTAGTCGTAGGAAAGGGCTAGACGAGCCGAATGGCTAAGAAAAGATTAGGCAGTCTATTTATAGCCGGCTTCACTTCATATGACGACACGTACGTACTAAAAATATATTTCTGCAAGTCACTTGGATTATGGATTATTTACCGTTTTTAGAGTACTTCGAATATTTTCACTTTTTATGAACGACTTTTAAAAGGACTTATAAAGTATCATTTGAGTCCAAAATTGTTCAGTGAAAATCGAAAAATAACAGATGTCGAGAAAAATCAGAAATAAAAGCCATCACTGTTATTTACTACTCGTGAATTAAATTGTAAGAAAGTTAACTAATAATCGTCAGTTACTCGCGTGAATATAATGAGAAAAGCTCTACTAGTTTCGAACTACAGAGGGGTTCTTCCTCATGAGCAGCATGCGCAGTCGCAGCGATGTCAGTAGGCTGCGCAACATACGACTGAGTAACCCGCGGTTTTTAGTTAATTTAGTATGCCTCACGATTGTTATTATAAAAACATGTAAGAGAGTTTGCAAAACTGTTATCATCGAGTTCTTTAAACTTGTAGAAAATTTAATGTATGTAGCTTATGTATGTCTATAATAATACTTAATCCTAGATTGGTTTAAGATAAGGAAATGGCACATTATCACAATTGGACACGAGTTCTATCTACAGCATGTGAATGATTAATGAGATGACGTCAAAGGCCAGTGGAAATAAGGTTTTCCTTTTCATGGCGGATCCGGACTTTCACGACATTGGTTTCTCTGCACAAGTTATCGACCAAAGACCAGTACTTCTATATACATAAATAAAATTGGAATGTCTGTTTGTAATATTGAAATAACGACTTTTTACTACATGCATATGATACTTATAACAAAATAACACTGTCTGTCTGTTTGTACTGGCTAATCTCTGAAATGGCTTGACCGATTTTGACGGGATTTTTTTGGCAGGTAGATTACTACCTGCCAAAAAGTATAGTACATTAGTACTATAACATAATTCTATAATATAAATGTGATCTTCCTTGAGTGGTTGATCAAGTGTGTGCTTGAAAATACCCAGTTTCATTATACTTATAGAGAAGATTTCGTTTGTCAAAGGTACAACGAAGGTTAAAAAAATACAAACTTTGCTGGAAAACACATTAATTGCTTGATAGTACTCACTTGGTCTCCCATCCCAGTAATGATAGGTGTGTTCCAGTAGGCTGCCAGCCTGGCTACTGGCTCCAGGGCGAAGGCACAGGCTGGTCCTATAAAGGCAATCACGTCGTCCTTGAAGTGCATGTCTGCAGCCAACCCCGGAGCTATAGCTCCTGAGCAGGATGGATAGCTGTGGAAGAATTAACTGTGTTAGTGTAAAATAGAGGCATAAGTCTAAATAGGTAGGAGATGCATTTAAGTAGCGAAATGTATAATTTTTTTTCATTATTTGATTAAAGTCAACTAAAAACAGAAAGGACTTTGCTTCACTCTTTTTACAACCTTCTATTAAAGAAACTGATGGCGATATCGTTTATTCGTCCTACTCGATAGTTTATTTGTGTAATATCTACGTGGCTCTTTCTTTATCAAAACTAAAAATTTCATTAATTACTAATATGACCTCTAAGCCTATACCTAAGCCAATACACATTACATCACAAAAAGAAAACATGATCATAAATTTACATTACTATAACTGTTAAAATACCCTTCACCTAAAGAGTACCAGTCCAAGTAAAGAGTACCTTCACCTCAACCCAGTCATTCGGACTTAACATAGACCTAAAATTCTAGGTCTAGCCAACATTAAATCAAGACCTATCTCATTATTTTTAACTGGAACCTATTATATTAATAGAGGTCTCAAAGTATGGAATGGGTCATTCACCTTTGTGTAAGCATTATTTTACTAAATACCGTTGTACGTGACTCGACGAGAATGTGGTACATAGGTACATACATACATTCATACGTTCCTGCTAAATTAAAATAAATGTAAAACCCGACTTTATGATTAATATTTAGAGAGCTTTATGTTGAATGTATCCTTATTAAAAGTAAAGTTTTCATTTATATTAAGATGGTGTCTTATTTCTCTTGGTGAACTCTACTTATTACGTTTATTAATGCATCTGACTTCTTTTCAGTTGAACTATCGTCCTTTGGGATCAGAAAAGTGAATGAAAAGAAAATGCGCTTACAATTTTGCGCTTCATTGTGCTTCATACTGATGTCTCATTTCAAACAATATTAATCTTAGGTAATTTAGTTAACACTACGAACGGTGATCGCCTAATTAAATACGTATATTGTACACTTTATAATGTATAATAATGTATAGTGGCCAGTAAGTCAACTTATCTTTTTCTGTCTATTACATACATACATAACATCACGGCTTTTATCCCCGAAAGGGTAGGAAGAGGTGCACATTACGGCACTTAATGTCACTGTACAATGTAACACCCACTTTTCACTATTTGTGCCCGGTATATGGCAATAGGCTACCCCCTTATTACAAGCGACTCATAACATAAATCGATAAAAGTGGGTGTTACTTCTGTGTGCACCTCTGCCTACCCCTTCGGGATAAAAGGCGTGATGTTATGTTATGTAACTATCATTATTATTTGAATATTTCAGGGCAGTAAACAATATATTCTGTCAGGTTTTATGTTATCAATGCCAAGCAAATTATATCACTCAAAAAAGAACATCTCATGATAATATGTAACATCGTGTGTTCTCCGTACATTCACATTGAATGCAAGTCATACATATATTGACATGCGACGTATGTACCCTATAGTAAACATGATCCACGTGGATACATCAGTTTACAGGCATCCATCACTGAAATTGACATCGCGTTGTTCCACACGGTCCTTTTATGATATTATTTTTTATTATATTTTGAGTAAAGTAAGTTACTAAAATGTCAATAAGTTTGTGGTTGATAAAATATAGATTCACACTTGTGTTTTTGAGGTTCAAGTATGTATGTATGTAAATTCTAAATGTATGCTGTGGTAAAATCAAGATGGAGTTTTATTTTAATTTTCATATACCGAAACGTACTTATATCAGATTCCGTACAGAATTTAAGTAATTCGTTTAATAAATTAATCAAGTATTTATTACATCCATAATGTATATACCTATACATATACAGGTGGTTTCAAAATACAATAGTAACAATACAACTGATGACTGCACAGTTGGCGCGGTGGTTGGGCAACTGACTGCCGCGCAACGAGTCGCAGGTTCGATTTCCGCACGGAACAACTCTTTGTATTATCCACCGATCGTTGTTCCGGGACTGGGGGTCATGTGTATGTGAACTTGTATATTTGTAAACGCACCCACGACACAGGAGAAAATCTTATTTGGGGCAACGTTTAAAAAAAAAACGGATCCTGACGGGCACAGCAACATTTAAAATTGGTAGAAAAATTGGTAGAAGAATTGGTAGAAGAGAGGAAGGGCGTTTTGTTCGATATTAACGTCATGTCACAATTAATAAAATAGGAACTAGGCAATATACAATAACACATAACCAGCCTTCGTATTACCCCGGCATTTGAACCCAAAGTTGGTTAGGCTGGGGTAGACCATCTCACCCGTCTAAAGATTTTTTGTTCAAATAACGTATACGTATATTCCGAAGTCACAACTATAACAAATAAGGTGTTAGGAAAGCCTCCCTATTAGACGGCATCTAACGAGGAACCCCCTCGAGAATGAACTCCCCTACCCAGCCATAGCAACTAGAGATACAATTACTTTATATTATTTACAAACTTTACTCCATATACTATACACAGCAGTTTCTCATATAAAGCGCTACTGATGAGCGCAAGACCCTGGTTTCGATCCCCATTTTTAGACAAAGTATTCTTTGGTTTTAGCATCTTTAGAATAACGAAGCTGTCGTTGCGTTATGTATTTATTTGGACATGCAATTATCAGCTACATATTTAACATTAACTAAAAATTGAGAATTAGTAATCTTATTACTAATGCACAACATTTGAAGGACATCACAGCATGTATTGAGTTGAGAACACTGGTATTAATAATTAAATAATGTTATGTAGTGTACTATACTTAAAATCGATGGACAGACATGCTCAAAAACTTATATAATGAACATTCACTTTTCATGCCTTATGTGTCACTTGTTGTAATAAGGAAGAGCCTATTTCCTATACGAGATACAATATCGAAAACAAAAAACTCGATGTTACTTTACCTAACCCGTAAATCCAGGCCAAAATCTCTTGTTTATCAGCAGACTCTTGTTCAGAACTCTTATTTATGTTACGCAGTATACCTGTAATTCTCATAAAGTTCACCCAAACACTGACTAAATAAAATTGACTACCACATTTACAGAAGCGATTGTATCCCACATCCATATAGAACTACGTTAGGAAAATACTACCCAATACGTCTTCCTTACCATATTATAATCAAAGAATGATCCTATTCCAATAACTTCTGTATCTACGTAAATTTATTCCATACTCCGCAGTAAAAGGTTTATTGAAACGTCTGCAAGTTATTGACAATATCAAAATGTTGCATGAAACGAATGCGAAGTAGAGTTCCTTTCTGAACATTTTACGATCATGTCTACTTTAGAATGCAGTTGCAGAACAATGACAGTTTTATTTTTACACTTCCAGTCACGAAAAATAATGCCTTGTATAATATTGTGTTACGAAACAAAATTCATCTATACTTAATTTTGTATTTAATGATTTTGCATTGGTATCAGTGATCAGTACCGCCTGTGAACTGTGTAAACTCATAACATTCAATTCAAATTCAAATTCCTTTATTTGTAGAACATAGGTTACAAAAGGTGTTACAAGCCTTACATTGTCCAGCTATGTCTTGCCATCAACGGCGTACAAATATAACATCACGCCTTTTATCCCCAAAGGGGTAGGCAGAGGTGCACATTTTAGGTACCACTGTACAACATTATAGGTACCACTGTACAATATAACACCCACTTTTCACTATTTATGAGTCCCATGTAATAGGGGGTGAGCCTATTGCCTTATACCGGGCACAATTCCAGACTCCGTGCAGTAGCAAAGTATTACTGGGTCAGTAGTAACTGAGAATATTTAAAAACCCAGTAATACTTTGCCCGACCCGGGAATCGAACTCGAGACCCTTGCCCGGCAGTCGCACTAACGACCACTCGCACTCGGCCAACGAGGCAGTAAACTCCTATGTAACAAAAAACAAATACATTAATGCATTGCCGACATTTTAGAAGTATTTTATATTTATTGGTGGAATTGTAACAAATAAATGGGAGTGAATAAGGATCAAGGCCCGAGTGATTAGGTTGCTTATGCGACGACGTGCTCCATTGTAGACCACATCATCGCTTACTACCGGGCGAGATAGTGACCAAACGTCGGCCCATCAAATATAAAAAAACACAAATGCCTTGTGATTCTTATGCTTCAAGGGTATACGCGTTATAATATGTGTTTTCTTTTGTAGGAGTAAAATAATACGAGATGTCAACAATTTGTGTAATCACAATCACATTATAATTTTATTACAATCCCAAACCATTTACATTTTAAGTGTGGGAGAGCCATGCTTCGGCACGAATGGGCCGGCTCGACCGGAGTGATACCACGGCCTCACAGAAAACGGACGTGAAGCAACACTTGCGTTGTGTTTCGTCGTGTGAGTGAGGTTACCGGAGGCCCAATTACCCTCCCCTTCCCCAATCTCCCCAATCCCTGAATCCCCAACGATCCTCAAACTCCTAATCTCCAAAAGGCCGGTAACGCACTTGTAACGCCCATGGTGTTCCAGGTGTCCATGGGCGACGCCGATTGCTTACCATCAGGTAATCCGTCTGCTCGTTTACCGGTTTATGCCATAAAAAAAAACATTAAAATAAGATTTACCAAAAAAATATTAGAAGCACATCATATGTTGAAGAGTTTTCAAGTTCCATAATAAAACTTGTTTGGAACAAGTAAAAGTGAGTGTTTGACTACTTGGAAACATTAGAATGAAAGTTTCCTTTGTAGCTGTTATTTTAATTTGTTGCCCGCTCGAGTGAGATCGATGGGCAATTCTTAAGTTGAGTGCTAGATTAATGATGTCGTTGAGATGTACATAGCTACCTAGTTTATCTAAAGGCATGATTATATTACTGTCTTGTTGGCTGAGTGGTTGGAAATGTGACTATTGAAGGGGTTTCAGATTCAATTCCCCAGCAGTCAATAAGTATTCTTGAGCAAGGCATTATTAGGGGTTTTTCGGAATCTCTAAAATTTCTAACACATATTTGGAGATTCCTCTGGCAATGTACCCGGTGAATGGCAATAAATTCGCCTTGATTACATTGGATCCGTGGCATAAGCAATAGAAATTGCGTGTTGCATTGAATATACCTCTGCCTACTCCCTCAAAGAGGTTTATCGTTTTATGAATACCGTTCTGTGTTCAAATATGTGTACTATAGGTACTTTCTAAACTTCTTTTGTTTTGTCAAATATTTTGACGGTGTAGGCTATTCGCAACCATTTCAGACTAATTTGATTAAAAGCCGTCGCGTCGTGTCTACATATTTGATTATTCAGGTATTGATTTCCTGTAGCATTAGGTACTGAAGGGTATTTGTAATGTATACGAACTTAGGATAACTAACTAACTAATTATTACTAAGAAAAACAAAAATATTAAGACTGGTTTTAGTGTCGCGCTGACCGCTCGCTGACTGTCGGCGCTGACAGGAACTTGTAGGAATTGTACAGTACGTACTGATACTAGCTAAAACGCTATTTAGAAGTTGGTAGATCTATCAGCGCTGACCGTCAGCGCGACACTTGAAGGTGCTCTTCAGCAAAATAAATGACGAAATTATCGAGGTGCTTCCGCTGAACCCACCAGAATTATCTACGGCATCGCATTTTCCCGAGGTAAAATAAGTATAGTATTTTATCTCAGATTTCACTATTTTCACTAAAAAATCTGCTGTTATAGTATTAAGGAAAAAAAATCTTATCAAACATAATAAACTGAATTGCATTCATAGTACTTATTACTACGTATCACATACCTTCCTTGCACCTTCTGCAGCTCAATGCCATGATGAGCGAGAAACTTCTCGTTGACCTTATCTAAGGCCAAATCCACAGCTGGACCACAGCGCTCCAGGTCAAAAGGGGAGTCCAAACGAGAAGCCATAAGGACTCCTACTTTATACACAACCCGCGAACTAAGCGAACCGGATAAAACCGGCGCGAACAAGAATATACAGGATAAATGCAGAATATACATTTTCGTTAGTTTTATACTCTGAACATTGTTTTAACACAAGGATATCTGTGTTTGTTTGTTTACACTTAGTACACTGTCCGCTATTTTATTATGGAAATATTAAGGGAAGAAAACTTATTCTCATTTTAGGTTAAATGATAAATGTATGTAAATAAATCAAGCTTTAACTCAGCTGGAGTCTAATTGGACATTTATAATAATTTAGAGATATTTTCCCTAAGTTTAATATTACTAACACACTGTTAAAATTAAGACTATACATTCACACAACATAATACAAATTCATATCTATTTTTTATTTTAATAAACAACGAAAGAATATTATTTACGATTGTAATACGTTTCGCGGGACGAAGCCAACCGAACGTGCGTGCTTCTTAGACCTCGTATGGAGACCGACTGGCCGGTCTCCTCAGATTCTGGATGATCCCCGAGATAGAGTAATAAAGGGAGGCTGGGGGCGCAACAGGTCCACTTTCCCGAGCCAAACGAACCCCCACAGACATGTAATTGATTCAAATCCCGGTAACTTTATAAGCCAGGATTATTTGACCACTATTTCGGTTATTAATTATATTATTTTGGTACTAGCTGCAAAGTTATTTTTGTATTTTGTGAATAAAAATAAACGTAATAACTTGTATAAGGTTGTAATTGTTTCTTTTAATCTATTTTTATTTTTGGTTATTGGCGCCCAACGTGGGACTTTGTTGTATTATTTTCGTTTTTTCGTTCGCTGATAGATTTATTTATGGTGATCGTTGTTGTAGTGATTTCGCCTAACTGTTAATGCTTGTCATGGAAATTTGAGGATAAACACTTTCCTACAATATGTCATGTAGTAGACAGGAGTCAAACTTCAGGGAACTCCGTAGAATTAGAGAAGTTCTTAACAAAACTTGACTTAAGGTCTCATCGTAGCAGTCATTCTTATGACCAAGAAAGCAGTAAAATAATTAACATTTTATCAAATTACTACCTAATTAATCTTTAATACGAGCGCTCTGTTAATATTTCTCTTGGAATTAAGGCATCCAGCTAATTTAACTTTATGAATTTAATATCAAGCAATTCTTGTTTAACATGGTCGTTCCTGACTGGCTTGACGTAAGTACAACGGAGGATTTGCATAAATGTTGACGTATCTAAGCATAATCTGGAGTTTATGTAGTATTTACCTTGTGACTGTGAGACATTAGATAATAGAATACATGTACAATGGACTAAGATTTAATTTAATTGCTTAGGTACGGTTTATTTCATAGCTACTGTTATTTAACCGCAATTATTTTGGCAGTAGTTGGATAACCAGTAACCAATTACTGCACTGGTTTGTAATTAAATTACCGACTCCGGAAAAGATTTTTCTTGCGACTGATAAGCAATACAAGAGATGACAAAAAACAAATGGTATGGACCATTGGTGTAAATTAAGCAATCCTATCACAAAAGTAAAGGACAATAAAGAATAGACAAAAAATAAAAAAATACCTACTCTTGAATTAAAATAAAGAGAAGCAAACGACCATAAAGAAGCAATATACATGTACTTACTTACTACTTAAAATTGTGTCCGGTTATTGAGTCGGCTGGGTCGACGATGGAATTTGAATTATCTTTTTAATTAAGTTCCCTTTTCAGCCTTCACAGTGCGTATTTAGGTTACCCTTCTAAATCCCTTCAAATATTGTTATAAAATATCTATGGAGCCTTTAAGTAGGCCTTTCATGTTCATTAAACTGTCAAATACCAAGCGGTCACCGGTGACCGCAACCTATTGTTCTATAATTGTGTCTGCAAAACCGGTACTCGACGAGTTAATGAAAAACGGAAGCATATTTATTCTTCAAAAAGGAGTACTGTACTTTTCGTTTAAGTTAGGTATTACCAGCAGGTAGTGTGCAATAAAATGTGTGTGTTGTCTAGTACTTCTGATGATATAAGATGGTACCAACTGCTTAACCTTTCCCCCTTAGTAAGTGTTAATACATTTCTTGCTTAGATATACTATGCGTTAGTTAGATCATTTATACGTTAGTACTCGTGGTGGCACGAAGGTTCAAGGGTTCGAAACCTACCAAAGGCAAGTACCAATGTGACTTTTTCCGAGTTATATGTACTTTCTAAAATTAATTAGACACCACTGACAAACGGTGAAGGAAAACATCGTGAGGAATGGGCTTTTAACTTGTAATTATTAGTATGAACAACAATCACCAACCCGCATTTTTATGGCATAAGCCGGTAAACGAGCAGACGGATCACCCGATAGTAAGCAATCGGCGTCGCCCATTGACACATGGAACACCAGAGACGTTACAAGTGCGTTACCGGCTTTTTAGGGATGAAGAGTTTGAAGATCGTTAGGGATTCAGGGATTGGGGAGATTGGGGAAGGGGCCTCCGGTAACCTCACTCACACGACGAAACACAACGCAAGCGTTGCTTCACGTCGGTTTTCTGCAAGGCCGTGGTATAACTCCGCTCGAGCCGGCCCATTTGTGCCGAAGGCTCCCTCACACTAAACTGAGCAAACGTGGTGATTAATGGTCAAACCTTCTCCGTGTGAGAGCCTTCGGTCAGCAGTCACCACTTATAGGCTAATAATGATACGTTCATTTTTGTACATTATGAAAATAATCTAGCACCACATTAAAAAAAGAAACTCAATACTTTAAATTACGTACGTCATTACTAAATGTCGAAAACTATCTCTTACTTGCAAAGTGATTATTCTTCTCGTCACATTTCCACCTCAAAAACTACAATGATTGCTGCCTGTCGAATAACTAACAACTTTATGCGAATGAATATAAACAAATTACTTTAGTTATACACGCTAAGTCGCTAATATTGAATGAAATAGACAATAGTAACCAAGACTCAAAACTCTGCAATGCTAATAAATAAAAACATTTTGTATAAACCTAACCCACATTAAGGACATAAGATTTGAAGAAAATGTATATAGGTAAGTACTTAATTCTAAGAGTACCTAAACTTTTTTCAATTCGAGAATTGCTTAATGGAGTTCTCCTAACATATGGCAAACCACTTGTAAAGTACTAAGTGATTCGAAGATTTCCTAACTTTATGGATGCTCCTTCGCAGTGGAATCGCAAAGGTTTGTGAAGCGTAAAAGATGTCAATATCCCTTCACTTTATGAGCGTCCGAGTGACTATAAATTTTGACATTGCTCCACATCGACTAGGGATGAGGAATGATGTTTTAGAAATAGACAGTATTTGTGTTTAAGTATTTTCCGTTAGAAAATAGTGGTACCTGTACCTTTGTAGAGAATATCTACATTTGTCACCATAGTGTCTCCTTCAGATGTCATCGTGATGTCGTGGTGGCCTGGAGGTTTAAGACGCCCGCTTCTCAGGCATGAGGGTACGAGTTCGAAACCTACCAACGCCGGCAAGTACCAATGTGACTTTTTCCAAGTTAATGTACTTTCTAAGATTATCTAGACACCAGTGCCGGATTAGCCACGTAGCAAGAGTAGCAAATACTACGGGCCCCGCGGATTGGGGGGCCCCGCGCTCAAATAGGTATTTCGTAATAACACCACTTCAACAGCAAGACTTATGAAGAAAATGTTTTGTTTACAAAACTACTACCAACCTACATGTAATTTGATTTTTTTTCTTAACGAAATTAACAAAAAAGACAAATAGTCGGTATTTTGTATGTGTAAGAAAAGGAAAGTGACTATTTGTTCGCTTGGTTGGTGCCATTGGCGGGCGAACCGAGCCCGATTTGAACGAATCAAAAATGAATTAATTAAGAAACACTATGGGCCAAGGAACCAGGAAAAGGGGTAGACCTCTTAAAAGATGGGATGATGACCTCAGGCAGGTGGCAGGAGTTACATGGCACAAGATGATCGAACGGGTTGTTATCTTATTCCCAGATGCTCGGAAAACGCTCGAGGACGAGCGTACGTCAGTATGGCCGTGTCGGCGCCGCCGTCATTATTTTGTAAACTGCGAATGTAATGGGCGAGCAGTGAACAAACAACTGACCGACGTCACTTCAACCCCACCACCGAGTGATATATAAAGCAGCGCAAGCGCAAGCTCGAGTCAGTCGTTCGTCGATCGTTGCCCAGTTCACACGTTACGCAATCGCTGAGTAATTTTATTGTTGGTTTTATTTGAGTGTTTCCTTTATATAATCAGTGCTGAATTATTCAATTATTATAATTAAAAATTAATGTGAAAGTAAGTTCATTTAATCGAAATAAACTAAGTGATTGTGTGAAGCTCTTTGTTTTATTTTCAAATAATGTCGGACCCTGATCCTACATATTCATGTCATAAAATCGTGTTGTTAGTTTGACATCCTCCGTGATTTGATGAAATCCCTAACCAAATCCATGTTTTTATCATATCACTGCGACACATACCTGCTAGATACCAACTTCCAATCATTCAACTAGCAAGATTATTTCAGTCAATCTAAAAAATCTATAGCATAACCCTAAAATAGTTAAATCTGTGTCATGCTACGAATGTCCCCTAGTTCTGGCAACCCCGGCGCAGTCGTAAACTTGTTTATGGCCCCGTCAACTGAATGCCGTTAACTCGTTAACTGTTCTCACTGACCACTCGACGTGTTACTGTCATTTCATTATTTTATGATCTCAGTGATATGTCCATTGTTTATGGTGGAAAGGGCGTAAGGTTTATAATTCGATTCTCGTATCTAGAATTTTTTTTATACCACGAAGATGGCACGAATAGCCCACCTGATGGTAAGTGGTTACCGTGGCCTATGAACTCTTGCAACACATAGGGCATTACATTATATATTTCTGCTTAAGTCATATGGAGAGGCCTATAGTTAGAATGCTCGTTTCTCTCATTGGCTGATATGAAGACGATCAAATGATGTCGGTGATGAGTGAGTTTGAGTGAGCGAATGAGTTTTAGCACAGAAGAGGACCTATTATGGCTCGGGTAGATCATGGTAAGGCTATAATTATACTTAAAATTGGCCAGTTCAAACTGGAACGGACGTACCACCCTCTCATAGAGTACCAGTATGAAGTAGCGACGTTTGGTACGTTTAAACCATGGTAGCCAGAATGTCAGCCAGATATACGCAAGATACAATGCGTATTTTATTGTGCCTCAAATGCAGAGGTCCTCAGGGATTACCCTCATATCTATCTTAATAAGGTAACGAGTTCCGGATGTCCAATGTCCAAACTAGGAAACCTTACATCTGCCCCATTATTTGGCGTTTATTGCTCCCCAATAATGATGATGTCTGGAGTCATAGTCCGGTGGACTATATTTATCTTTGACAGTGAAAAGTAAGCTAGACGTGTCTAGTATATTTCATTAATCCACCAGACGGACATTAAAAATAATATTGTCATAAACACGAATACTGAAAGGCTATTTCAATTTAAAGTTGTACTTAAATATCGCGCCATCTCTGTAATTTTACTAAGAACTTGTAAGCGCGACTTAAAATTGAGTATTCGGACGTTTCAGTATTCGGGCAAGAATCCCTTATTTTACAAGGTGAAAGAAAAACACAGGCTTTCGAAACATGACATTTATTCAACAAAATCTCTACACACTGGTTACAATTCTTGCATTAAATATAATAATAATCTGAAAGGTACTATTTGGTGTTATAAATTATTACACAATAACAAAATAAGTAAATATCTTAATATGCATTTATAAATATATCGACCAAAACAAAAATATACAACAATTTTATCAACATATAAAATTTTTGTACATAAAAACACGAAATATTTCATTTTTCATTAATATTATTGTTCAAATCACCTACTGTAGGGTAATATACTCTCTTAGTAACCGCTAATCTATGGAATATATTAATTAAACATTTAAATTTATATACGTTTTAAGCGTCAATCTCAAGTACAAGTGACTACGGGCTCCGAACAACTAGTTTATAAACTTCTAATTTAGCTCACAGACGAAACGTTCACAAAACATACAAATTGTACAGACAACCAGCAATTCAACATACCCCCTGTCAAATATCTTAAAAACAACTTTATCTTCTAGTAATAAAGTCTAAAATCTGTTGAAGAAGGGAGTAAGTTTAAAGTGCTGGTGTTTGTATATAATATTAGTATTATAATTAAATTATCAGATCCCTGAATAGTGAATATAATTCATATTTGATATGACAAAATAATAAAGTAAATATTGCATTAAAGTGTTATAATGTAGTTATCGCACCATTTCATATTAAAATTAATCAGATTTTATTTTAGTGACAGTTCAAATCTCACATAGTCAGTTTCATTCATATGTTTAATTATTTTTAAATAATATTCACGTTCACGAGGTATTTTCAGCTTTACTTTATATTAGTCACAAAATATTATTTTACTGTGGCAATTTAATACATTTATGCGAACAGTGTTGTAGGAATTGGTCACGTCATGCATAATTGGTCATTAACTTTAAATGGGTCATTAACTTTAACAAAACTTCACACAGCTGAAATACCCCGCGATAAATAAATAAATATTACATCAATACATAAGACAGACACATCAAATTAGGCCAGTTACACTGCCAAATGATACAAAAACAAACGCGGAATACGAATTTTTAAATATGGTAACATTCATCCCTTTATACTCTGTGCCGCTGTCTCATACAACACGCAAGGCAGTGATTTTAAAGGCGAAAACAGACTTTACACACACCACGCCACAAGACGTCAAACAAAGCATCCCTAGGGAGGGCTTACGTTTTTACGCAGATCGCCCTAATGTAGTATGAGATCTGGTTATCCTGTCAATGTAGCTGTCAAAAATTGCCTGTCTAATGATTTGAAAGTAGGAGATTCTCTATAGACAAACAGCAGCTGTAGCCAAATGCCACTTAGCGCTTGTCTACAAGTAGAAAAAACCTAATTATATGGAATTGACGTAAATTTGACACTTGTCAGTGTCATCCCCATACATTTTGATCTCTACTCTCTCTGTAGACAAGCGCTAAAGTGGCGCTTGGCTAAAGGCCCAGAACTACATGCTACATTAGCGACATCTAGTTATTACAACAACGTTAGTTATTATTAAGATAATTTTAAGGAAGTGGTTGCGTGTTATGACGTCGTGTGATGTAAATATGTTTGCCCCTCAAAGTTCGTATTCCATAAAATACAATATGATTAGTACTCGTGGCAAAATTACTAATGAACAAAGATGGTTTGTTCAATTAACACTAATACCTACTACAATATTATTTAATAATATTGTGCTGGTTCACTGGTAAATTAGAGCTAGAATTTCACTAGATGGTAAATTCCCGGTTTATGTCTTTATCCAATTATTCGAAAACGTTTTTAAAAATTATTGGAAGATAGTAGATAAATACTTAAATAATTTTATCATCAATATTTCATATCAAGCATTATAATAATGCGACGGTCATTTAAAAATATTAAATGACATTATGACGTGATTTCTCTTGAATGAATCATAACATCTAACTTTTAATACGAATAATAAATATCCAAACCAATTTGATTGTCTTTTTCAAATCAATTTTATCAAAAAAGAAAACCATAAACTGACATATCACAATTTCCTATTTTAATAAATATTAACTAAATGCGAATGTCGCGCAGCCTACTGATCGCCGCAACTTCGCACGCTGCTCATGAGGAAGAATCCCTCTGTGGTTCGAAACTAGTAGAGCTTTTCTCAGTATATTCACGTGAGCCCCCCGCGAATTTTAGTTAATTTAGTATATCTCACGGTAGTTATCAATAAATATCAATGACATTAAATAGAGATTCATGAAGAAGAAATTATATGACTAATTAAATAAACATAACATAACACGCCTCTCAATCCATGAAGAGGTAGGCAATAGTCCACATAACACGTACTTTTCACCAATTATATATTAAACAAGCATTAATGTAAATAAACTTGTATGTAGCTAGTAATAAAGCTCAATTTACCAGTGAACCGTCGATTATAAAGTTAAGATGAACATCTATTAACAGCTATACAAAACAATAATGACTAGAGTTAGAACCTATTCATACGTTACTAAGGGGATCAGCAGTGTTCATCTACGACCAGTCTCAACAAACCTGTCTATAGATTTTGTTGTTCATAGATTTACTGCTATAGATTTTGTTTGTTTGTATGCTTGCTTGTTTTTTTGTTTGAAGACGCTAATCTCGGAAAGTTCTGGTTTGAATTGAAAAAAATTTTTTTTGGATACTCCATGTATAGAGAAACGTTATAGGCCATAACAGGTTATGTTTCGACCAATAGCTGTCAAGCAGCGGTTGAAACCGCGCAAGGGCTCCACACAAAATTGCATCTCCAGTAGGCTTTATCGAGAGATTTGCTATTAAGACTGGCCATAAGTCTCCATTGTAGCTAAGTCTAGTTAGACTGTCATTCTATTACTAATTGGAATTACTAAGCTGATACGTATACTGCATATTATAAGGTGCATTATCGCGCAACAAAACGAAGGTCATTTGATTCATTTTTATCATGTCATGTTGAGAGAGTTGACACTCTCTACGTCATATATATATTACATTATACGGCATAGTTGTAATTGCTTTTAAGTTTAAACCCAACTAACATCCGTCTGCCTTAAACGGTTACCATTACTTTCCAGATGTTTATTTTCTTTGAAAGTTTATCATAAATGATGCAGTATTTTATGATCATGAACACATCTATGTAAACTTAGCCAGAATCGAGATTTAGATGAACATTAAGACGCCCTAAGAATACGAACTCAATGCAACCAACGAACGATGACATTTAACATTCACTATACAAATTAAATTGTACTTTAATCAAACAGCATTAAGGACTAAATTAGGTTATATTATAATCCCTTGTTAGGACAATAGGCTTTGTATGCCTTACGGCAAAGCTCGAGCGCTTTGGGACTTCGAAACGAGTGGTGATTAGCGCATGGGAAATTAATTTTTAAGAAATATTGTAAAGAAGGTAAGGTAGAGTAGGGCTTTTCGAAATTGGACCTTATTCAGTATTATTTTAAGTGATATTTGAAGTAAATATGTAAACAGCTTTTATCTTACTTGAACTTACTTTACTACATTATTTGAGAATGTATGTATTTACGTGTAATCCACACTCGTTCCCAAGTCTCCAGAGAACGATTACCCTAGTTTGACACCTTGTTATTGCACTATGGGTACAACCTCCCCGCCCGAAACATTCGACAGTACAAACTATATTAATAAAAAACACGAGAAATACATCAAAATCTACGTTGAAACATATTTAATATGGGGGTAAAATCCGGTACAATCCGGTTAGACAAGTACTACCATTAATATGAATTAAATGTAGACACAGCTAACATCCACATCACAATTAGTTACCACATTAGGCGTTTAATATTGCTCGTATTTAGGAATCTCTCATTAACATTAATATTATCCTACGTGCACGTCTAATGTTCCGGAGGGCGGAGCTAACACACACACGGACACAAGACGTACGTTACGACTACACTAGTATTTGTGCGTATCGACCTAGTATTATACAAGTTCACACACTCCCCGCCGCCGGCCGAACTCATTACTCATATACATACACCGATTACTCTAGTTATACATAAATATATTTATATATTTACTTCATATACTTATTGCTGCATCTGTTACACAGATAAATGAAGAGCTCGACATCTCACTTACATTACTTAATTGTACTCCAAGGTTCAATGAGAATACCAAAACTTTTACTTTTTAAAAACTGCTTTGGTTGGGATACACGAATATGGCATTTGAATAATACGTTTGGAATTTTATTAAGGTCCCCTATAACTTATCGCCAGGTCTGTGCACCAACTGGAATACATGTGAACATTGCCTGCCTTACACTAACCTAAAAGAACTCCCATACTAATCTAAATCTTACTCTAGACTAGTCAATGAAATCGCCTAGATTAGAAATATACAATAACCTATACAGAGGCTTATTTAATAATATTCGAACCTCATCCCTAATGGTGGGTGCTTAACACTACATGTTGAGTGTGGACCCACCTTCACATAATATCTGAGATTACACATTACACAGGCAAGTGATCATATTATACTTCGTAAATAAAAGTATTTTTGTCCCTGAATTAACATCGCAACTGTTCAATGTAGTATAAACCATCAATGTACTTAGAATTTATGGTATGTCCATATGTTCCAGTTGGTCACCCGGCTACACCTACCTACAGCTACAATACAAGCTAAACATTCAAACTTGTCTCCCAAAATGAACATCATCTAACAAATGGCCTAACCGAACAATAAAATAACTTCTATATTTATTTATTGCTTTCACGTATTCCGTTTCTCGGAAGACGTATGGTCTAATCTATTAGGTACTCAAGCCAAGATTGTACAAATCTTTTATGGGGTTGAATTATTTCAAAAAATGGCACCGGTTTTAAAAATATTAAGTACATCTGTACATTAGGGGTTTCACAGTATATCAAACGTGTACAACGAACATTTATAGAGTACAATACAGTGGAAACTCAACAAGACTTGTGACATTAGCAACTGCCAACAACTGTCACTTAAAGGCAATATCATCTGTCACAAATAACATCAATAGAAACTTGTCATTTAGGCCTAGATTCCTTCTAAAATTACCTACTATAAAGAGGGGTCCTAAATAAATTACTAGATATATCCAATTATCTAATTAGGAATTGTTTAAGAGGTAGTGGACCAAGGTATCCTGTTGAAGTAGCTTTGTATGGCAAGGTTTTTAAATGCATAAAGTATAGCATTCCTATATGGCAACTAATTTCTATGGCTTTCATATTAAGTAACACTTGGTGGAAAAATCAAGACAATGTTTAAAATAGACTTATTTTTTTTTGGATTTGCAAAATCGTCTCCATCGAGAGCACGGTAGTGGACCGCCAAGTTTAGATATTCTGTACATAATAATTTTACCTTCACAGTTATTCAAATTCCTTTCACTTTGACTCATATAATTCGTAAGACATTTACATTAAAACAGATAGACGTTTTAGTATCTCACTTTATCTTAGGCCTCATTTACTAAGTTGACTAACACAGACTAAGCATACATTAACTTTATTGCTCTCGAACAAATTGAAGAAAGGCATATAGAGCAAAGATTTTGGCATATTTAATGCTGTTTACTTTTATATTAGTGCCTGTAACATTTAAATATTCGATAATAACAGATCACAATTTATTGCTACACCAAAATCGCGCAAACAGCATTCAAATATTATAGAAGTTAACAAATAAAATGCTAAATGTTACTTATCCCTCTTTTACGTAACAATAAATAGTAGCATCACATTGAGGTAGAAGAAGGGGCATATAAAATTCAATTGGTTTAATAAATGCACGAAAATCTTAATAGATATTCCATGCATTGAAACTTTTTGGTTATTTTTTAATTACATATAAAAAGTCATATAGTTTAAGTAGTATGTGTAAAACTTTAGTTAATCATAGAGAATAGAAACTTTCAAAGACATAGTTGCCAATTAAAAAAATAAACTTGAATATACGTACCTAAACCTTAATAAGTACGTTAGTTTCTATTATATTTTATCATATCAATACATTTTCGTCGTTTAATGGTTATTATACCGTGGTAGACATAACAAAAGTTATGTATCTTAAAGTTAAGATTTTCTTGCTTATCGCAATGTCAGTTTTATGGAATATTTTACATATTCACATAACAATATCTTATCCTTTCCATAGTTGATAGTACAAAGATCTTACGGACTGTTGAACCTCCATGTGGTGTGTTTAAGGCGATGTGTGGTGCCTTCTTCTTCGTCGGAAGACCAGTGCGAAGATGCTTCGAAGACGTCGCCACCGTCTGCGTCCACCGCTTGTCGAAATACCTGTTCCCAATATTGATGCCTGAAAAATAAAGAATTGGTTTTAAAACTAATTGGACTTGGCGATTCACTACCGTGCATAGGGTTATGATGAAAAATTAACTTTATTAGCAATTTCTTTACTCAAAAGATAAATAATAGGTGAAAAGTTGTACATATTCACAAAACAAAGATGTAATGTATACCTGTCTTTGTCTCTCCAGCCGTCGTATTTCCCTAACGAGCGCGTGGAAGGCATCGTCCACAAAATGTCTGAGTGCTGCAGACGTCTCAAAGAATGGACAGCCGAGCTGCGTCGCGAGTGCCCTGCCCTCTTCTGTCGTCACCTATACACATGTTTTATATTAATGTCTCATTATTCAGATCCTATTTTCTAGTAGCTTAGGCGTGATATGTTGTGTATGTCAATTTGTATGTATATTTGTAAACCACCCAGATGGGAAAGACAATTTGAAAGACCTCCAATTACAAAACTACTAAAAGCAAAAAATATAGAAAAGACGTACCTGTCTAAACCTGGGCGCGAGATCCAGTTTATTCCCGACAAGCACAAGCGGCAGTCTCTCGGAGGGCCTCGCTTGCGCCAGTAGTCGCCTGTATTCGGCGGCCGCGCGGAACGACCGCCGGTCTGTCACCGAGTAACACAGCACAAACCCCTCGCCGCACCGCATGTATTGTTCCCTCATTGCCGTGAACTCCACCTGAATAGATAGCAAAATTATCATAATACTTCATTCATCGAAGGAGTTAAATAAAAGCACATAAATATATAAACAAAAATTAACACTAATCACATCACACTTTTATTAGAAATGTGAAAGTTTCTTTGTTTGGATGTTTTAATCACACTGAAAATACTGAATGGATTTTGATGAAATTTGGTATACAGGCCCATAACCATGGGGTGATTCAGGTGATAGGACACTTTTTATCCCGATCAAATGCTCCCATGGGATAAAATAGGAATCACATTCTATGTGGTTCCACTGTTCCACTGGACTAAGGAGTGGGCAACATCTAGTAAAGTCATGTAAACACCATGTTTTGCTGAAAATTCTTAATAGTACTTAGCCCGACAAGAAATTAACCTGAGATCTCAAGTCAAGGAGACAATTAACCCATAAATCACCAAGCGGTCACCGGTGACCGCTTTCCACTAATATTACATTACATTATAGACCTTATTTGTAATGTTTAGAGACTACTTTTGTATGACCAAATTTAGGGGGTGGATTTCAACGGGTTAACTCGTTGAGTACCGTCATTATAGACACAATTATAGAACAATAGGTTGCGGTCACCGGTGACCACTTGGTGTTTGACAGTTTAATGTGACTGTTGCAAGAAGGTCCTTTTCTTATGTGAATTTTATTTGCAGGACATATGTTGTGCGTTTCTGGAGAATGGAAAATAATACTAGTATAAGTCTATCATTAGGATCACCAACCTGTCCTGCAGTGTCCAGTATGTCCAACAAAGCTGGCTCTCCATCTATCACTGCTTGCTGTTGGTACGAGTCCTCTGTAACCATAACCATGAACATTACGGGACATATTCCAATAACCCATAAAAAATGTAGTCGTATAAAGTAAAATTTGTCACAGTAACAAATAATTATTATCTGACCTAGGTACAAAATTTTTATCCTTTTTGTGCCAATACAATTATTTGGGTTAACTCGTCGAGTACCGTCATTATAGACACAATTATAGGTTGCAGTCACCGGTGACCGCTTGGTGTTTGACAGTTTAAATTAGAATTTCCTTCTATTTAAAAAAAATGAAATGATTTTTAAAATGAGGGTAAATTAAGGTTTTGATTAAAAATTATCAGATTTCCAGATTACATTGCAAGTGGTTAGTGTACTTTAGAATATATTGATACACCTAAAAATAATGTATAAATAAAATAATAAATACATAAATCACTTCATAACAGCTATTATTTCATTTTATATGAATATTTTCTTTTCAATGTTTAGCTACTTATAAAACATTTGTAATATAAACAGTTGCTATACTGTTATCAAATGTAAACAGTATTATAAAAGCACTCCAAGTGTTTAGCATATAGCAACTGTAGACTAAACAAACATCAAGTGACAGTACTCAATCAATCCATATGGAACCAAAATGACCAGCAAATATGAGCATTGTTCTCGTCATACCTACGACCACTAGTTAATTTCGAATGTAAACAATAGTCGGAATGTGTTAATTCCGGCAAGTACCTATAGTAGGGTCATGGTAGTCCAAGAAGCTGTGACTGACGAACTGCAGCGTTACGGCGGACTTGCCGACGCCGCCGTCGCCCAGCACCACGATCTTGTAGACGCGGAGGCCGCGCGACGTGCCCGCAGCCTCGACCGCCATGCCGCCGCATGCCTGCGCCCGAGAGCCGCGCCCGCCACCTTCACACCGCAACCACCGCCATGGCCCGCCGCACACGCCCCCGCCGAACACTAACACCACCGTGCCGAATTATCTTACACCACTCAAAACTAGGAAAACCCTTTCATTTAACAATGCACATTTTGGTTTATATACAAATAATTTAGGTGTCTTCTATTTCTTCAATAAAAAATCGACAGCTGATTGAAAGCGATTGACATTTCGATTTTGTTTTGATAGGTTGGCCATCTTTAGCTATTATTTGCGTTCGGTTCGTTCCCAAAAAGATGAAAGTTAGTAAATAAAAATAAACTGATTCATGTTAGTTTATATACAGCACAAATAGACAGTTATCTTTTTCAAAGACAATAATTAAATGTGGATCTGATCATTTGTCATATAGTCTTCCATAGTAGTAATATAATTCGTTTTTTATTGAACGCATCTACAATTGGTATCTTCATGTTGGTACGGTTTGAAGTTGTCAGTAGCGTTCAAAAATTTGATTTGAAACCATAATGGATCATTGAAATACAAAGAAAATGTTATTTCACTTTAAAAACTAACACAAATAATATTAAGTCGTAAAAAGTCAGCTTTGCATATTAATCTAATAATTATTTTTTGCGTTTGATGTAAGGAAATTTCTTAGTGCGTTTCCCAAATCCAAATGCACATTATGTCATTGTCAATCAAAAGTGATTGTCAACAAAATCACTGGGCAGCTTCTATGTATTGTTTTCTTTTGTTATAAATAAATAAAGTTCCCAGCTGATATGGCCCATATACAATTCGTTGATGAATTAGTTCGAGAGTATCTACTTTATCGAGGATTTACATCAACAGTGAAAGCGTTTGATAATGATTTGAAGGCTGATAAAGACAAAGGTTTTAGAGTTGATAAAATAGTTGAACAAATTGTACATTATATTAATGTTTCCGACCTGAACGGATTTAAGGACTATTGGTCGCACCTTGACGCCCTTGTATTCTCAAAATTGGAGATTCACGTTCAACCTGGTAAGAAGATAAATGATTTCTTTTCACACTTTCTAATGTCTGAATTGCACGTAATTCTACACCATGTATTCCTTTGTTGTAGCTGTTCGCAAGCTGGAATACAGTCTGTATAAGTTGTATTTAGTGACAGCAGCGCAAAGTACAAGTGGAGCACGAAATGAGAGGATCACAGACTTCTTATCTAAAATGTTACCTGAACTGCAAGGACAGACCGAGTGGAGAGACTGGTTCAGTAAGTTATATATACATTTAGTAATATAAACCAAGTTACATTGAACCAATTGGAGTATTTGTCCAATTTTATTATGACATTAAACATTTTCTTATAAGAAAAAAAACTGATCTATTAAATAATTTTGACTGATTTGATATTAAGACTGATAACTATCCTATAACAATTATAAAGTTGAAAAATCCAAAACAATCTGACTCCAGAGAAACCTAATAAACCACATTTACTTTAAATGAGACCCTCCATTATAGAATGCAATATCTTTCCAGTGCTGCCATTTATCCAGAAACCAGAAGAGAACCCATCATTCAGTCTGTACTTCACCAGAGCATGGCAGGACAGTGTTCTAGTGTCACTACACAATCTGCTGGCGACAGTGTTCCAGTGTATGCCACAACCCACTCTGACCAGCTATGAAAGTGATGCCGCCATGGTAAAGAGACTTCAGGACAAATTGGCTGCTGTGTCCGGGAAGGTGATTATTGAGGCCTGCTGTTTGATTAGTACATAAGTAATTTTTTGTGAGGGTAAAAAATCATCAAATTATTCCTCCACACTTGGTGGAATGGGAGATTCAAACTTTTACTGACTAAAAATCACCCTGTTCTAGCTTTCTACCTTTTGACGGAACCACTACTGTGCTTGGTTAAGCTCACTCGCGTCCCCGGCAGGCGTAGACGCCATTGATTGTAATAGGCTTTGTCTGTAATAGTCTGATGGCTCTTTGACGCGCGCGCGGAACATATATGTCTCCATAATACTTTTAATTAATTTCCAAATTCTTTATTTCCAGACTCAACCACAACAAACAGAGAAGACTTCACCAATAGGTCATCAGTCCCGACTGTCCCAGTACTCAGAGCGACTCAGTGGCCCGTTACCCCTAGTTGATGACTTCTGCGCTGTGCCTTCGGAACAACTGGAGAGCGGAGTGCGCGAAGCCAAGGGGCTCCGAGGCTTACTACGACAAATGGGGGGCAGTCCCGTAATGGGCAGGAAAGCCAGTCGATCTCACAGCCAAAACTAACTTGTAAAGTTCCTGTACCTATATTATATCTGTAAATACATTCCTGTTATTTTATTGTGTGAGAGTACTATATGTTATTTTATGTTACAAATAAATATTATATTAAGCTATACTACTTTTACTGTTTAGTTAATAAGTGTGCTATTATCATCCTATTATGTTAGTGTATATTTTATTTTACTCTACCACTCTATTTGAAAAGGAATGATCGCAATAATATGCTTTATTCATTGATTGATCCCATATTCTTACTAGAAATACTCTTTGTCTCTTTGATAATGACATAAAATGCACTAAATAGATAGTGACCTTATGCCTTTATCCAACCAATTATAAAAAAGTTACATGTGACAACTAACAATCAAGGACGTTACAACCAACTAACAATCCAACAAAATGTCAACCTAAAATTCCTGTACAAACACTAACAAAATCACAACCCCCCAGTTCAATAAACAATAACAATCTTGATTATATTCCGAACTAAATTCAAAGTCATCACCCAAACATGGCGCACGCATTTTTCGCGGATTCGGCAAAAAGGTCAGAACGCCGTAATAGAAAATGGTACATGGACAACTTGTTGAACGTACTGCAAGCAGCCAAGGAAAACCAGGAGAGAGAGATCGATGCATCTATTGCGCTTGCTGAGGAACTTATGCGGGTGGGTACTGAATGAAAATAAGGCATTTGATCCTAGAAGAGGTAGCAACAACGACTGCCGTGCAAGAGGTCTCGGGTTCGATTTCCGGGTCGTGCAAAATATTACTGGCTTTTTTTAATTGTCAGTAATAGTACGTATTCTGGAATCGTGCCCGGTATATGGCAATAGGCTCACCCCTTATTACATGGGACTTGTAACATAAATTGAATAGTGAAAAAGTGGGTGTTACATTGTACAGTGGCCTTAAGTACCGTAATGTGCACCTCTGCCTTCCCCTTTGGGGATAAAAGGCGTGATGTTATGTTAAGAGGTAGGTAGGCTCTACCTTCGCATATTTGAAGATATGACCATTCACTTCTAGACTGTATAATAATCTGATAAAACTTTCCTCGACTGTTTTCTATTGTCAATTACTTATGATTTATTACATACATAGGTACACACACTAAACAATACTTTGGGTGTCGCTGACCATTAGGCACATACCGAATGTACCTAGTTTAAGTAAGGGCCACGTCTTACCTTCATGTTACCTAGTCAATTTCAGAGATTAAATGAGCCTCAACCGCTGCCAAAAGTGGTCCCACTGCGGCGTGTGGTACCCACTGAAATAGATGCCGTGATGTACCCGATAGAAGAGGAAGTCCTCGACATACTGCAGAAAAGTACTCATAAAGGGTCTGCCAATAGATATCTAAAGGAGAGATACAAAAAAGCACCGGAGGAAAAGTTAGTACATAGTACAAGTTAGTGTATTAGTAATTCATTGAATTAAGGTTTTATGCCCTTTTATTTAATTTACTGTAGGTTAAGCAGAAGTGCAGTTATTAAAATTCAACTTACATTTCACCGCAAACATCAAGAATGGACTGGCTCGACCGGAGTGATACCACGGCCTCACAGAAAACCGGCGTGAAACAACGCTAACGTTGTGTTTCGTCGTGTGAGCGAGGCTACCGGAGGCCCAATAACTCCCCCCCCCCTCGTGTTCCGAATCCCCAATTCTTCCACAATCCTTAAATTCCCAAAAGGCTGGTACTGCATTTGTATGCCCCTGGTGTTTCGGATGTCCATGGACGACGCCGATTGCTTACAATTAGGTGATCCGGCTCCTCACTTACCAGCTTATCCCATAAAGAAAAATTAAAATGCAACATTTCACGACAAAGCAATAAGACAAAACATTCATTTCATGCGAGAATCGAACTTCAAACAGATAACCCACCCATTATGCCAGTGCCAACCGTGCCACTGTCAGTTCCAGTTTACTAATATGAGTGTACTTTAAATAATAAACTTTCTTGTAGATTTCTGTACCGTGTAGCCACGAGTTGGGATTACGGCTGGCAGCAGAAACAAGCTAGGTTGAAGGCGCGCGACGTGAACTTTGGCCGAAGCTTTATATTGCGGAATACCTTCTACCGCAAGAACAACCTGGCGCCCGACCCGCCGCATTATGGCCAGCCCAGTGGCGGGCAGACCTCGATCTGCAGCGAATATTCTTGTAACTTTAATTAGTAACTTGCTAGGATAAGCTAAGATAAAATACACGACGAACAAACTAAAATACAACAGTTTATAAATATATTCAATAAAATTGGTATAAATAATAGACGAAATATAGCAAAAAACATATATTTTATAATTTTATTATTTACAATAATTCAACTTTTATTTACATATTAACAACAGCAAATGTACCCTTTGTCTAAGGCCACATCTAACTGTTCGAAAGGGAATTACTATAAAATAAAAAATGTGTACAGAGTTCTTTCAATTTTGTTTTTACGAAAGATTGTGTGATTAAGAGGTTGGTCGTGTTTAATCTCAATAGAATCATTTCTGGATAAAGAAAACAGTTGTCTCTAGTATATTACAAAAATAATATGAACATGGAAAGATATCAACAGTATTGTGACACTATGTACTATGGTGAAAGACTCTATTGAGACCAACTACAACAATCAAATGCTACTATAAAATTAATTAACCAGCATATCAACAACATCCACTCACTCCTAACAAGATACTAAGAAAATAACTAATAAAATAAATGTTAATATAATTAATAATAAATATGAGACATTTTGTTCTTTCTCAAGTTCATATTTTGACACATTATGTACAATTATTTTATATATCAGTCCGTATTATCTGCATAAACTTTTACTTCAAAATTTGTCCACAATTCAACTGTGTATTGTGCAAAATAAGACAATTTATTATGCTCTCTCTCCTTTGGCGTGTTGTCTATGTTCCAGGGTTAATCAAGTTACAGGCATGTTATATACTCCAAGTATGGCCCCTTCACCTCCCGGGGGGAAAGACCAACAATGTAACTATTCATTACTGTATCATCTGCATTTATCAAGGCTTCAACAATATTCATATAAGCAAGCATGTACACAAGGCCCAACTACTAGAAATTCTACTTTTTAAGAAGTAGGCATGTATCTGTTGAAATTGCAAACCATTGAAAAGTGAATAGTAATGCCACAGTACAAACTGTTTGTGCTAGACTACACTAATTGCATGTGCTAGATACTGTGTAGCTGGGCCTGTACAACTGGCAAAACTGTAACTGTGTACTGGACAAAACAGTATATCATACTGTTTAGCCACACTTTGTACATGTACTTAAACTTTTAGTGGCACTAAAGCAGTCTATCACAACAAAAGAAAGTAACAAAAAGTATATTTAGAAGAAAGGTAGATCAGCTGCATGCTGCCAATCCTAACAGTTATCTTCAATAAGGCAGTTACATAATTGTACTTAAGTAGGTGCAGCAATTAATTTACAAATTGTAAACAAAATGCTTACAAGCCATATAAACTTTGACAAGTACTGACACTGCCTTTTGTATATAACCCCATTAAAAAAAAAAACATTAAATAGAAATGTCATTTGTTAATTTGATACTGATTACGGTAACTTCCCCTCAGCTCGCTTCACATGTGATGATGATAAATGAATGAGATCAGACATTTATGAGAACCAATATAGACGATAGTAGCAGGACGAGTGCCGCAATACCCGGTGTCGCGACATCGCCGCGGTGTACCCACGGTACACCCAGACACATACTAGTCTGATATGATATTATTGTCACAACTTTATACAAACTCAACAATCACTCAGAGATGATCCAGTGTCATGTAGCCCATCAGAAACCAAACAGCTTTTACACCAATATTTACAAATGATGTAATGGAGCAGTTGGTTTCACAGCTTATCTGCATATTCCATGACATTAGGAGAATGAGGGGATATAATTGAGCAATATTAATTGCCGTATTCTACAACCCTAACCACAGCGTGACTGATGAACCCAAGGGTGAGGATGTACAATGAAGATGATGTTAATTGACCGTACAAATCAAGCTTTACCTATTAATTACTGGCTAGGTTAGTCGGATCCCCTCGGCCCCGCGACGGGAGCAATCACACCAACACGCGCGCAGTACCCTCGTTATAATCAGATCGTAACGTCCGCACACGTCACAAGGTTCCACACTATCACTATGAATGTCTGTTAAGTCACTGGCGTGGAATATCACTGCCGGGAATAGGTCCTGGAGTCCCCCCTTAGGCCGATGACAGTGATCTTAAGGTTGAGTGTAGTAGTAGAGCGCTCGCGGGCCGGCTCGGGCCCGGCGCAGTCCCACGCGCACTAGGGCTGCGGCGGCGGCAGCGCGGGCGGCGGGCCGCTCGTCCATTGCACCAGCGCGTGCTGCGCCAGCTGCGTCGCCTGGAAGTGGTCCTTCAGCAGCGCCTGGGAGAAGTTGCAGTGCATCTGGTACGCTTCATTCTCCCGCTCCGAGTCGCCCGCCAGTCGGTACAAGTCTGAAGATCAAAATGAGCGTTAGATTTTATGCGAAATGTGAGCTGGATGTGTAACAATATTTATTGTTATTTCTCCTATTAACCCTGCCATGAGCCAAAAATAGTACCTTTCAATATAGCAGATGCCCAGAGCTGCACGTGCACGTCGGGTATCTTGCTGGCCAGCTGCATGGCGGGTGTGACCATGTTCATGCTCTCGCGGGAGTTGTTGATGGACAGGAAGATATGTCCCAGCAGCACCAGGGAGCATGATGTCAGTCTGTTGAGATCCTCTGCGTTTGCCATCTTCAGCGTCTCACGGAGGTACCTCCTACACGATACGAACAGCAATGAGTAAAACGATAACGTCGATATCGTGGTTATTAGACATTTTGAGAAATCTAGTGTGACTTACTTGGCTTCATTATACCGAGCCTGGAAGAAAGCTTGTAGTCCCAATACGTAGTAAGAGGCAGCTCGCAACCCGTGCGCGTACGCCGGTAGCGCTTCCGGCCTCACCTAGACATAAATATTACATTAATATCATAAACTATTTTTAGATTCCCATCAAACACACATGATTATTATGCTTACCAGAGATGTCTTTGAGAAATGGAAACTAAAAGTTAATATAAAATAATAATTTCAGTGAATTTTATAATATTTTTACCTGTTCCATAAGTATGGTCAGTTCACTGTCTCTCCTCCCTCGTAAATATACAATCGCCAAGTTGAGCTTCGCAAACATCCATAAATCTCTTTCTTGTGACATCTGTAAACAATAACAAACACTTTTCTGAAAACCGCATCAAATTAGGTTCAGCAAATCGCGAGGTTATCGCGGATAAATATACGTACATGTTAAACTAAGAACCTTTTTTTAAGTCAGTTAAAGAACATGTATGAATAGAAAGCGTCGACGTTGTTGAATGAATGGTCACTGGCTATTAATAACTTTAGAATTTATGTAACCTTATGCACTTGTTTCCCGTCCAGTAAGTAAAATAAACATTTGTCTCGTATTACATGATATTTTGTGAAAGATTATGCAGTACTCACATTGATAGCAGTGTGGAACTGTGCCTCGGCGGCGTCCATACAGTTCATGGACATGGCGTACAGCCCCAGCAGGCAGTGCAGCTGCGGCGTGTGCAGCTCCGCCGTCGCCGCTGGAAGGACATTGTTATGACACCATCATGTTTTGAGAACACACTACATTTTGTGATTTAAGAAAAAACCGCCGGCAACATATTTCCGTAGACCAGTGTGTCGTGGCACGCCTGAAGCCTATCGATTTCATACATTTATTATGGCTACAGCTACAGCCACACTTATATAGTGTAGCGTATCGTATGGGTCGCCAACCAGCTGATTTGTGGCCACATCCCAGCACATACTTACCTGTTTTCCCTTTTCTAGCATAACCTGGTAAACGAGCAGACGGATCACCTGATGGTAAGCAATCGGCGCCGCCCGTGGATACTCGAAACACCAAGGCGTTACAAGTGCGTTACCGGCCTTTTGGGAATTGGGAATTTGAGGATTGTGGAGGATTCGGGAGACGGGGACTAGGGATACGGGTAATTGAGCCTCCGGTAACCTCCCTCACACGACGAAACACAACGCAAGCGACTCTGACTTAACATTACTTCCCAGTTTTTAGCCTAATGAAGCTTCAGTTGAAAATCAGAGAACTCTTATTAGTACGCACTTTTTTTTGAAGGGGGAAAGTCATCCAATGACTTCTCCCGCCTTAAGTTAGGCAAGAGGGAGTATCAGACTCTTAGTGACTAACAACCACCCCGTTCCTACTCCTGCTCTTCGGGCCGGAGCCCCGGCAACCCGTTGGGCCTTCCGCGGCTCCGTATCGGGCATTAACCCTACTGAGCCCCATCTGTGGTGGTCTGGTTCTGGTTGGGCGACGAGCTACCGTTGCTCGCCGTCCGCAGGCCCGCACTTACAGCTAGCATGACTGCTTCACTTAGTAGACTTAGTGATGTATTTATTGATTTTCCCCCGTGTTGTGCTTGTGTTTGTCGCCGGCGACGAAGTAGTTCATAGATAGTAAGTAGAGTGTAGTACTAACGTTCAGGTGCCTGCGTGAGTAGATGCGCGGCGCGCGCTATCTCGTGCAGCGCATGCGCCTTGCCGCCGGCGACGAGGCGACAGAGCGCGGCGTGCTCCACGAGCGCCATGCGCAGGCGCCACGCCAAGATGGCCCCCTTGCGGCTCCGCACTCGCTCTCTCTCCTCACGCTCGCACTTCTCGTTACCCAAAGCATCCTTTTCGCATGTTTTTGCTGTAAATATAATCACAATGTTAAGAAAAATGCAATTACTTTCCCAATGAGGCAAGAAAGAACTGCACATAATGTGAAATGTGGAAACATCTACTAGAAAGAACGTGTCTATGCCATCAAATTGCTGTCGTAAGTAAAAAGCCCAAAGCAAAGCAAAACTACCTTTGGAATAAAAACCACTTAATCAACAAGAGATAATAATCTTAACATCAAGAATAGCGACTTACAGGTAAGCTTATCGATTTGCGCCAGCGCTTTCTCGGTGTATTTGTGTGCTTTCTCCATGTAGCCAGCCTGCGCGGAGTGCATGACGGTGACGAGGTACACCAGCACGTACAGTTGTTGCCGCGACATCCACACGAACGACTCGCCTTGCACGCTGCCGCATACAGCTAGGGGAAACATTAACATGACCATGGTGTGAGAAAAACAATGTGAAACCCCAACTCTTTTCTAGGTGATAATAAAGGAATAACTTCCACGAGTCTTTTCGATGCGATAATTAGAATGTTGTTGTCGTTATAGTTAGTATTATCTGTTACTGATCTAAATCATGAATTAAGTAGTCAAACTCATTTTGATAAAGTCTTACTTGTTAATGCAAAAAAAAATTAAACTTGTTAAGTTAATGAAGATTAAAAATGGTTAAACTTCAACAAATGAACAGAAAACATAAATAAAATTAAGTAAACGATATTTACTGTCATCGTCGGGCCATTGCGGCGCCATGATAGCTTGTATGCTCTGCTGCAGCTGCTTCAAACATGGCTTCACGCTCTTCACCTGCCCGGCCATCAAATAATGACACACCTGCCGACAAACACATTGTTAAAGGTCATAGCCATGAAAGTTGGTCAAATTGCTAATGGTCGCAAGTGCCATTACTGATCTTAAGTTCGATAAACATTTCTCATAGCAACCCAAATATGCGTCATAGGGCCACACCGCAATTGCCGATCTCAATTATTATTCGTATTTCGACAAAGGTCGGGTCGAGCAAGACATTTGTCATATGCCACGGAAACTTAAATCGTGCACGGTATATGACAATAGACTCACTCTCTACTTCATGAAACTCATCTAATAAAATAATTGGTGGAAATTAATGTCACATTTAAAATGTTTGCCTACTTGAAGCGTTAACGCGCGGTGTGTAGCTTTGATAAAATCAAACTCATCGTTCGCTTGAAAAATTTACGCTTAGCCTATTTGCAGAAATAAATTCACTTATTTCACTTGTTAAAATCAAAAGGAGTTTTATGTTTTTGAAGGCTTAGTACTAGTTTGTTTTATTTACATTTAACGAAATCAAAACGTAACCGCATTCGACGTTCTGATTGGCCTGCTCCAATGAACCATCCAATCAGAGGCCCAATTCTAATATTTAGGTTTTTACTTAGCGAACTTTTCCAACGCCAGATTTTTAACTGAGGAATAACTTTGAATATTTGACAATTCTTTCATACTAAAAACTGTGAAATGGCAATTTCGTTATACAGTTAACAATGAAATGATGATTGAAAAATATTTATTCAGCCCTTATAGCGTATAAGGGCCGAATAAATATTTTTGTGTCGGATTCAGTTGGATAGTCCATTTATCGAGAACTAGTGTTCCCGCGACTTCATTCGCGTGGAATCGTGATTTACTGCGCGTACCCCTTAGGTGATTGCGTGATAATATATAGCCTATATGTTGACCTGACCTGTTAGTAATAATCACACAAAATTTGAAGTAAATCCATATAGCACTTTTTGAGATCCCGGACATACCTATCCAGACATACATACAGACAAATAGTCAAAAATTCTAAAAAACATATTTTTGACTTCTGTATCGACTATAGATCACATCCCAAGTATTCTTTTAAAAAAATATTTAATGTACAGTTTTGACTTTTCTACGATTTTATTATATGTATATAGAAGTCTAAGCCATATAAAACAACACGCTACTTATAAATAGGAGTCGAGCAGCGGGTTAAACCGCGCTGGAGT